ATATATTTATTAAAAAATAATTATTTTTTATATAAAATTAAAAATAAATAAATTTAAAAATATAATCATATATATAGTATAGAAGAATTGACTAAATCAATTATATTTATATTTTATTAGGTTTTAAAAAATTTGTTAAATTGTAAAATATATCAATTATTTTTTATTAAAAAATATATTTGTTTAAACGAAAAGATATATTGTTTGAATCCTATAATGTTGTTCCTAGTCCACTCAAATTTTTTTTCAAAAAAATTCTTTTTTGAATTTTTGCCAAGCTCAACTCAAGAAACATACACTCCTCTTTTCCAATTTTAATTATTTACATAATTTACATAAGGGCATGTTTGGATTTGGATAAAAGTAAGTAAAGAGAAGCGAAGGTGAGGAGAAGAAGGAAATGTAAGGGAAAAAGGAGAGGAAACCACTGGTACTAACTTTGTTGGGATCTATTATAAAGAAGGATAAGAAAGGAGATGAAGGGAAAAATTATATTTTTTATTCAATTAAATAAAATTTAAAAATTATTATAAAATTAGTTAAAATTTTATGATTTTATTTATTAAATAAAATTTAAAATAAAAATTTTAATTACATTTTTGAGAAAAAGTAAAAAAAAAAATAAATATAAATTAAATCCTTTTAATTAGATTCTCTCAAAATTGAAAGTATTAAAAATAAGTGATTTGAAGTAGGAATAACAATAGATCCTATGAGATGTAGTGTTTTCAGCATTCTTGTCACTATCAATAGTGGGTATGGTGATTCCTATTAAAATTTTTTATTAAAAGCAAAAAATGCCCTTTATTCCCTTCCTCGTAGGAAATGAGAGGTCCCTATAGATATGTGAAGTCCCTACCAACTATTAAAATTGCACAATTTAACCTTATTTTTATCGATAAATAAATTTTATAACATCACAAAAAAGCAATTCATGGGACATAAAAATAAAAATCTATAGAAGTGAAAAGCATGCAACAATTTCACAACACTCTAAAGATTCACTTCATGGATATAAGTAAGTTCTACATAAATAAATTAATAAGTTCTCCATAGTCCAGTAAATCCATAGACAACACCTACAAATTAAAAGAGGAGAAATTTTAAACTGGCAAATGTATAAACATTCATCCTGTTACATTCAACAAGAAAATACTGCAACGTAATAGCAACTCAAGCTTTTGATAACAACAACTTTAAGTTGAGGAAAAAACTTCTTAAAAAAGGTACCCTAAGTTAACATAATCTTAGGAAAATTCTAATTGCGGGTTTGGGGGGAAGAGGAATTGGGTTAGGCTACTGACAATTTGGGTTGAGTTGGGTAAAAATTAATTTTTTTATAATAAATATATCATAATTATAAAAAAAATATAAATATATGTTCTTGATATATATAGATCCTTGTGGGACCTATGTGGTGGAGGAAATTTTTAGTAAAATTTCATGAGAAAAAAATTGCATCCATCCCCACCTTATGAGAAGCAATATCCTCTAAAATCTCCATCCTTGTGATGGATCCTTGCAGAGTTCCTTGGGTTTTAAAAAAAATTGCCATCCTTAGTTTAGAGGGAGTTGATTCCTCCATCCACCTCCCCACCCTTCAATAAACTTACCCAAACAAAGGAAAGGAGAGACCTCCCCTTCAACTTCCGCAGTCCAAACTCACCCTAAGACCTAAGAGAATAACACAAGAAACTGGTACATTTTTTAGTGTTATGTTTTTTTTTAGTACATTAAATAATGAGATATGCAACAAAAAAAATAAAATAAAATTTTCCTTTTAAATCTCTCTCTATTTATTTTAAAATTCAAATTTGATATCTATAATATAAAACTCAATTTTTTAACTACGCATGTCGTCTCTTGAAAGACTTTTTATAGTATATTTTTTCAATAGGTATTTGCATTTTCAATTTTTATAAAATAAA